AGATGGCTGGGGAGTGGTGGTAGTGGGGAAATGGAGACAACTGTACTTGAACGACAATAAAAAAAAGTAAAAAAAAATGTCCTTACATAGCCTTCATTTTTTCCCATGCAATGCCTCTATCCCCTGCTGAGTATTATTAGATTTTACAAACTATTTGACATGAAACTTGGCCCCTGATGAAATGATGCAATTTTGGATTCTCTTGAAGACTTGCAAGACTAGAAATAGATTTATAATGCCACAGCTCCTTACCTTACTTGAAGAAATCTGCATGAATAGACAGTAACGTTGCTCTTGAGATGGGAATTGTTTTGAAGGCATACATAGAAAGCCAATGATAATGCCATTTCATTTTTCTATCTTTTAACATATGGAAGCGTATGTGAGCACAGAGAGCTTCAAGATGAGGAAGAGTTTAAATGATTGTTCATTGATTAATTAATTTAGTAACTATTCAAATCTCATAACATCTTGTTTTCTTCTTATGTTTGCAATTAGGGAAGTCTGAGCTGAATTTGCAGCTCTTCTTGGGTAAACGTAGAAAATGGCGCAGCCTGTGTTCTTTATTAGTATTTGTTCCTCTGGTCTTGACATACGTAATTTACCCTCATCTTTCTATTCTGTCATTTAAAGATATTGATATTTTGTATCATTCTTAATTAACTACATTTATTTGCCTTAATTTAAATCCTTTTGGAAAATAGAGGAAAATAGGTAGAGAGCAAGTTAGCAAACAAGCAAACAAGCCACACTTACTCCACGGCCTTGTGTCAAGCAGGGGCAGTTTTTCGTTTTTATAGTTTAACAGGAGCAACTTCTTAAAGGGATTTAAAATTTCATCCTGTTTGGCATGGCTCCTAAAACTTTAAAGCATTCTCTGCTTTCTGTTTTGAAATAAGGATAATGAGTTGGATAAGCTTAGTGGAATTGAGTAGCAATGCATATGTGATATGTTACTGTCACATTTGTGGAATATGAAGTTTGCATCGTGGTTGAAATTAACTCATGTATTCTAATGAAAAATGTGGCTATTGTTTGGCCAATTATTATTTCACTGTGTACATAGATCCATTCTCTGTGTCTGTCATTTTATCACTGGTTTTTGATCACCTTAATTTGGAATTTAATTTTTTGAATGGTGATAAAATGATATGAAACATTTTGCAATGATTGTTAAGTAGCCTAACAAGTGTTATTAAGCAAATATAGAAATTAACTCATAAAATCTATGAGTCATATAATCTCTTGAATAAAAGTACTAATTTAAGAGCTCAGTTAGTATAATCTAAGAGTTTTTTTAAAAAAACATTTTTATTATTATTCTTTCATAATACCTGTTCAAGATAAGCAATATGAGAAGAAATATGTGAGCTTTGAAAGGTTTTACAGTATTTTCAAGCTATCCATGGATGGACTTAGAGGGTCTTATTCTAAGTGAAACAAGTCAGTTAGAGAAAGACAAATAGCGTATTATCTTACTTATGTGTGGAGTCTAAAGAACAAAACAAATGGACGGAATGGAAACAGTCTTATAGACACAGAGCGGGAACTGGTGGTTGCCAGATTGGGGGGGGGCAGAGCACTGGGTGACAGGCGTTAGGAATAAGAAGGACAATTGGGTAGTTACAAAATAATTATGAGAACATAAATTGCAGCATAGGGAATATAGCCAATGATACTGTAATAACTATGTGTGGCACCAGGTTGGTGCTGGGAATATTGGGAACACTGTAAAGACACGATTGTCTAACCACTGGGCTGTACACATGAAACCAATACAAAATAATCTGTAATTGAAATATATATATAATTTGTATGTAATAGAGTCTCTTGAAAATGAAGTTAAAAAAGAGGATTGGCTAAGAAAAACACTACCAGCTACTTCTTCTACAATTGACTAAATGTATAGAGTGCTTAATTTTAAAAGAGATATTCACCTGATAATCATGGTAAAATACACTCAATTCTAACTTCATCCTTTCTAATATTAGGCAAAAAGTTCTAAGACATAACTCTCATAGGAAACTGTAATTATACCATCTAAACCTAACCCTCATTCTACCACTAATCTTAGCCTAATGCTAGTGCTGAACCTGGTGGAAGCTTTTTGCACTAGGATTAACATCTGCCCTCATGCTGAAGCTAAATCCTACCTTTTCTTAACTTTATCCTTAATATCTGCATTGATACCAAACCTAGAAAGCAAATACGTTTTGAAGTTACGTATAAATTCTGATTGGCCGTGTTCTCTCTGGGTCACTTTACTGAGAAGGATTCTGAGGCTTAGCAGGAAGGAGCTCTGAGGTGAAGGAACATTCTCTGTCCTGGAAGGTGATGCGGGGGGGTGGGGGGTGGGGGTGAATCCAGGCATTTATTTACCTTTCCTCCCCTAACTCACTCATACCCTGGTCTGGACTCAGCTGCCTAAAGGCAGACAGATCATGCTGTCTGCAGACAGACCATGCTGCAAATCATAAGTGAGAAAAAGAAGTTCCCTGCTTTTATTTGAACTATGGTAAAAAGATGGGGCTCATATTTCTTACCAAGGAGTGAGTTTTCTTCCAGAGGGAATTGTAGGAGTTCTTTGAGGAGGAAGTTTTATTTTGGAAAACTTTGTAACGTGTTACGATGATTCATCCATTCCCTACTTATGAAAGAATATGGATGAGGAATTGGAATTTAAAGTCTCAATGCTCCCTTCTTTTCTGAAAAATTAAATGTATTGGGGTGATATTGGTTAATAAAACTACATAGGTTTCAAGTGTACATTTCTATGATACATGATCTGTATGTTACACTGTGTGTCCACCATGTAAAATCTCCTCATCATTGCCCCCTTCTTAACAAGAGAGTGGCTGAGTTCCACAGAAACCACAGCCATTCTGCTAGCAAGGGGCTACTTTCCCTCCATTTATTTCTCTAGGAGTTTTATTTAAAACGTCAGATGTTTCGTTTCTGCCAGTTGTTAATTTGACACAATCAATGGGTATTGCAGAGTATATAAGGATCATTTCTACAGAGCAATCAATTTTTCTAAGCACATGGGACATGATCTTCAAATAATGGTTAGGCAAATTATTTTTTAAATCGGTTTCATTAGAAATTTTGATCACAGACAGAGCTAGAAAATAATAAAATGATGAACTCCCAGAAACTCTCAATCAGCTTCAACAATCAACAATCCAGGCTAATCTTGTTTAATCAGTTACATACCCCTCTATGTATTTTGATTTAAATTTTAGATATCATATTATGTTATGTGAACATTTCTCTATAATTTAGTGACTCTTGATTTTTTAAAATCAGCTTTATTGAGATGTATTCAAATGTCATAAATTCACTGATTTAAAATGAACGATTCAGTGCTTTTTGGTGTTTTCTTATTGAGTTGTTTTAGAATCACCACCATCTAATTTTACAGCACTTTATCTCCTCCAAAAAGAAACCCCATTATCATTAGCAGTCACTCTCCAATTTAATCCCACTATCCAGCCCTAGGCAATCACCAATCTAATTTTTTTCTGTATAGATTCTATACAGAAAGTATATCTATTCTGAACATTTTATATAAAAGGAATCATAATATTTTATTTTTGTATTGCTTTCTTTAACTTAGCATAATATTTTCAAGATTCATCCATATTTTACCGTGTATTGGTACTTTATTGGTATTTTATTTCTTTTTATTGTAAATGATATCCCATGGTATGGATATATTACATTTTGTTTATCCACTCTCATCAGTTGGTAGATATTTAGATTCTTTTCAAGTTTTGACTACTAGAATAGTGTTCCATGAATATATATGTACACATTGTTTTGTGTGGACTATTTTTATTTCTCTTATGTATGTAACTAAGAGTAAAATTGATGTATAAGAGAGTTATACTGTTTTTAAAAAGGTTAAAAATCTTTTAAGAAACTGTCACACTCTTCCAAATAGGCTGCATCGTTTTATTTGTGCCTTTTGCCTCTTAATCCCTTGAACTTATGAATACACTTGGCAAAAAAAAAAATCACTAAAATGTTTATTGAATTAAATTGATTCTTAGCTATAAAACATGTAGTGTTATAGAAAATCAAGTCTAGTTGCTAGGGTAAAATTACAGGCCTAAAGCATAAAATTACAGGCCTAAAGCACTAGTACAAAGATGCATTTGTGGTCATTAGATAAAATAGCTGAATCTGTAAATATTTGCCCCAAAGTAGTTTTCTTGTCACATTCTTCATGGCTTTAAGGAGGAAGATCCCTTAAACAGTGGAAAGCAATGCAATAGAGGAATGTTTCATTTTTTCAATTTCATTTGTGCTTTGGTAGTTGAAGACAAACCATTGGAAAAAATGGTAACAATGATAATAAAATCATTGAGCCTAAAATGACTTGGGTGTATGATTGTGGAAGCCACGGGCCTTTTTCTCCAATAATACAAGTTAATACAAAGCACTCTGATATGCTGTTGAGTTTACCTCAGAGTTTTTTTTAAAAGTCTATATAAGAATACTATCATGATGATTGAAGTATAAAGATTTTAAGAGAAATGATAGGCAGATTTTAATGATTAATATAATTTTCATACTCTATGCCCTCTAACTTCAAGATTGTAGCACATTTATATACCATTATGCGGTGATATAGGATCAGAGAATACTTAAAATAAGCATATCTGCTTGCTGTTTACATTTTTTATTCTCTTTAAGCACTACTGTGGGATATTAAAATACACTGCAGTCCCTTTATAGGTATATAAATGCTGTGGGTTAAATTGTCCAAAATAGTGTATGTCTCAAGTATTTGATATAAAATGTATGCTGTTTATTCCAAGGGCAATAGTAACTCAAAATTTTTATTGTCACAGATAACAATAAATGCACTTTTATTCAAACTGAGATACTTAAGAACACAGTTTTCCCATGTGCTTTAAAGAAAAACTTTTTTTAAAAGCAGAATATTTTCAGTTATATGGTGAACACCTCTATAGGTGAAAATCCATACTCTGTATGCTTGCTTCAGCAGCCCAAATGCTAAAATTGGACTGACACATAGAAGATTAGCATGGTCTCTGCACAATGGTGACATGCAAATTCGTGAAGCATTATATTTATTTTTAAATCATATGTAGCCCTGAATGGTTTGGCTCAGTTGGTTGGGTGTTATTCTGCAATGCAAAAGGTTGCTGGTTCCATTCCTGGTCTGGGCACATGCCTGGGCTGCAGGTTGGGTCCCGGTCAACTGACCAGTGTTTCTCTCCCATTGATGTTTCTCTCCCACTTTCTCCCTCCCTTCCCCTGCCTCTAAAAATAAATAAGTAAAATATTTCTAAAAATTGTATGTTGCCAAAGAGATGTGCTCAAAGTTTAAGAAAAATGTTTAAAAAATAGCTTGACCAGAAATTAGAAAGGAAGTATCCTTTTCTCCTTTTTTTTTGTTAGGAAACAGTGAGTAAAAAAAAGACCCACGCCACTAAAAATCATGCCTTCAGTTTTACTTTATATTCATAAATTCAAGTGTGCGTGTATGTATTTTTAAATGTTTTCCTCTCTCTGTGCTTGTGCATGTTTTATAGCTAAGGATATATTTTCCAGGACTGTAGAGAATGGGCTGCCAGAGTCAATGAGATGGTGGGACCCCAGAGAGAGAGGAACAATTTTGGAAGCATTATTAGTGGTAATTTGCAGAGGACACAAATGAGCAATGCTGATTTGAATTGAGTTTGCTTTTCCTGCAATTCTTCTCCACTCCCAGTGGAACTGTCTGTGAACTCAAGACCTAGGTACAGCTTTGGGAGGGGTGTAAAGTACTGAGTTTTACTGCGGTGCTGGTGTGGGTAAAAGCAGAGGGACCTGCTGAATCAGCTCTCAGGGCTGACTCAGCAGAGCATTCACACCTGCAATCAGGGCCTACTGTGCTCATGCTCAGTGCCAGCTATTCATTACTTGATAATTAGAGTTTACTGATGAGCCAGACACCATCCTAGACCTTAAGAGACTCCTGACCTTAACCTAGCTCTGGAGACCCATGAGTTTACAGATAAATTAATGGCAAAAAAAAAGAATGACAAAGGCTAATGAAGTCACAGGCACCATTCACTGTAGGGATACAGATCCTAGTTACATATCCTAGTTTGGGGATCCCTTCTCAATTCTTAGAAAATAAATTAAAGCTGGTTTTGTTACCTGATTTGATTTTGAAGTTCTGAGTATACAAAATTGTGAATTATTTAATTTTTATATGTGAAAGTACATTGTGGAAATAACATGGGCATTGATGTTAGACACATGATTTCCAATCTCTCGAACTTTGTTATTATTTAGAAAATTGCTTTGCCAATCTGTTTTCTCACCTGCATGGTAAAGATAATGTAAACGCTGCAAGTAGTTAGAATCTGACATTTATTAAGTAGCTAATACAACACCAGGTATCACCTACTAGACATTTGGTTATTGCAACACTCTGCAGATATTTTAATAAACAAGTGCATATTGTGGCTTTCAAAAAAGGGTATATAATTAATGGTGATTCCCAAATCTATTTAAAGAATATAAATTAAAATTCTAAAAAGAGGGCTTGGGAGTGTAGTCCTGAACCCTCCCTTTCTCCTACAAACACACCACTTCTGCAATAACTCACGTATAAATTCCTTTTGTGACAACTCAGATGAAAGGCTCTTGTGCCCCAGGGGAACATAAAACCAGATTCTCTGAAGCCAGAAGAGAGATTTGGAATATCCTCTCACTGGAGATTCTGTCCCAGGCAAAGCGCCATATGAACAGAAATAAGGTCAAGATTTGTATATTGAAAACTACAAAACACTGATGAAGAAAATAAAAGACAAACAAATGAAAAGATATCTTGTGTTCATGGACTAGATTTTATATTGTTAAAATGTCCATTCTACTCAAAGTGAGCTACAGATTCAATTCAATGGCTACCAAAATTCCAGGGGCCTTTAAAAAATAAATTTTACAGGAATAAAAAATTCTACAATTCATATGGTACCACAAAAGAACACAAAGAGCCAAAATGATCTTGAGAAAGAAGAACAAAGCTAAAGGCATTGTACTTCCTGATATCAAAATATAACATAAAGCTACATTATTCAAACTATATGGCACTGGCTTAATGACAGGCCTGTAGATCAGTGGAACAGAAGAGACAGCATAGAAATAAATCCACACATAGACGGTCGGCTGATGTTTAACAAGTGTGCCAAGTAATACACAGTACGAGATGAATAGTCTCTTCAACAAGTGATATTGTAACATTGGATATCCACATGTGAAAGAATGAAATTGGACCCAATCTTACCCCACATACAAAAATTAACACAAAGCGAATTAAAGACTTAGGTGTAAGACCTGAAACCACACGACTATTAGAAGAAAACTTTGGGGGAAAATTTCATAACATTGGTCTTGGCAATAATTTCATGGACATGCTACCAAAATTACAGGTGCAAAAACCAAAAATAAGAAAGTGGTATCACATCAAAAAATTTTTCCATGATGAAGAAAGCAATCAACAGAGAGTAAAGGAAACCTTCTAAATGGAGGCAACTATTTTTTAGCCATATATTTGACAAGAGGTTAATCTCCAAAATGTATAAGGAAGTTGTACAAATCAATAGCAGAACAAAACAAACAAACAAAAAACCCCAATGAATAAAACAATCTATGGGCTAATATATGGACATAAAGAGACAACTCTCCAAAGAAGAAATACCAATGGCAAACAAGTATATAATAAAATGTAAAACATCACTAATCACAAGGGACATGCAAGTAATAAACACAATGAAATACCACCTCACATTTTTCAGTGTGACTGTTATCAAACAAAAAAGACAAGTGTTGGTGGGTTTAAAGAGAAATCAGAATACCTCCTACTGTCGGGAAGGCAAACCCCTACAAGTGCTATGGAAGGCAGTATGTAGGTTCCTCAAACAATGAGAAACAGCATCATATCATGTGATTCAGAAATCTCACTTCTGTGTGTTCACCTAAAGGAATTAAAACCGGAATCTCAGCTATTATCACTTCTATGTTTATTGTCCCACGATTCACCATAGCCAAGATGTGGAAACAACATAAATGACTGATACGTGTGGCATATATACACAGTGGAATACTATTTGCCCTTTCAAAAGAACCAGTTGTGTAATATGTAACACAATGGATGAACCTTGAGGACATTATGTTGAGTGCAATAAGCCAGGTTCAGAAGTGCAAGTACTGTATGGTCCCACTTATATGAGGTATCCGAAGTAATGAAATTCATAAAATGACCGAGTACAATGGTCATTGCCAGGGGCGGGGTTAGGGAAATATTGAGAGTTACTAACCAATAGGCATGAAGTTTCAGTCAAGCAAGATGAATAAACTCTGGGGATCTCCTGTACAGCATTGTATATATGGTGAGCAATAATTTACTGTATACTAAAAAATTAGGTAAGAGGGTAGATCTCATATTAAATGTTCTTGCCAAAAAACATTTTTTAAGTGGTATTAAAAAAGGAAGCACAAATAATGTGTGGCTCAAATCCATTATAAGTTTAAAATCTAAATTTCTATCATTTTATTTGTAACAAACCTACTAAGATTTTTTAAAAAAGTAAAAGCACGCAGAGTAAATAAAAATTCTCAGGGCTTACCTTCTAAAATGCGTTTAATGAAAAAGAAGCCTCGTTTAATGAGAACTAACTTAATCATTTGCTGAAAAGATATGAAAAAATTGGAAGGTGACTGTACATTATACAATGACAGGAAAAAACTCAACTATATAATAAAAAACCATAAGACTAAATCTAGTGTTATACCGTTTCTGTGACTGACCTTTGCCAAGTCATTAAACCTTGCATATTATACAAATAAAAAGGTAAGAGACTCAACCTAAGGTCCTTCCCAGTATTTACATGATAATTATAATAAAATGAAGATCATACTTAGGTTCTTACAAAAACCCAACTAATCGCAAGATTAGGGTATTTATCTTCTGTATTGGTAGTGGAAAAATTAAACAAACAGTTTTATAAACACACAATATTAGCCTGCTTGTGTTTGCTAAATACAGGACAAAACCATTTGACAGACCAGGACGTCAAAACTCGCCAACCAAGTCCTAGTCCCACACACTTAAAAAAAGTCTACATAATGAGACTGCAGTTTTCATAGGTAAATGTTCTGTAATCATTATAAACAAAAGCAAGGCAATATCAGTTGTGTGATAATTTATGTATAAGTAATTATGCTCTGTGATATTTTACAGCCCATTTAAACATTTTATGTGTTAATATATTTTCTAAATGCTGACTTCTAAAAACCTGGCTGTATATAATGTGTTGTACTTTGCTATCTCTGCATTTATTCTGAATTAATATTCTTCAGAAATGCATTTGAAAGAGAACACTGCATCTTTATTTTTGACATGTTTTAATTGTTATAACAATTTTTAAAAAATGAATACTCTCAAATGTAAAATAACTTTTTTCCTGCATGTTTATTGTTGTTCTGATTAAGTTTCTCTCTCACTCTGGGTATTCTGTGATGACTGCTGGGCAACATCCTTGGCTGGTTATGACCTTCTGTGGAAGGAAAAGCAAACTCATGACATTGCCTAACTTGAAACGTTAGAAAGTGATGCTTGTACTTCAGAAACATGTATTCTGTTTCCATTCCCCACCCCCCTTGGTGTCAGCTTAGCCAGTCTGGTTAATTGCCTAGCTTTCCCCCCAGCCAACACTCCTAAGATATAACCTGATAAACAGTAGACAATCTATCAATCTGCCAATTCAGAAACAATTTTTAACCATAACCCAGTCAAATCAGCCCCTTCTCACACGGGAGACTTTGCAGATTTCTCATGTCACAAGTGTCAACACCAGCTCGATTTCCTAATCTCTCCCCTTGTGGTCTTCTCTGTGCTGCCTCTCCTTTGATTAGCTATTCATCTATTTCTCCTCTGTCATGGCAACACTATCAGTAGGACTCCTGTGAGCTCCCATGTACCCAAATAGTTTTTCGGTCAGTGTTCGTTGCGCCTCCATTATCTTCCCCAGGCGTGGCTGGCTCCAGATGAGTCAGGTCCTGGGTCTAGCTACCTTGTTATTGG